TCCTAACATTCCCCAACCTGCTCCTCCTGCAGTCTTCTCTGTCTCCATAAAATGCAGTACTGTTTTTTTCCTCAGGCCCACAACCTGAGAAATATTCTTGTCTCACACCTTATATTTTTCTCACACTTCACATTCAGTCTGTCAGCAGGTCATTTTGGCTCTATCGTAAAAGTATATGTAGAATCAAGCAATATTTTGTATAAGAAGGGAGGGGTAGAGTGGAATATCTCTTTAAGTTTGAAAAAAAAGCCAATGGAAAAATAAAGAGGAATAAAGATGGTTACTTCTGGGAGAAGGGAGGAAGAGAGGGAAGAAAAGGAAAATGGAAGTATGACTTCTGCTTTGTCCTTGTATTACTATTCTGATTTTAGGAATATATACACATTTTCATAATTTAAAGGTAAAAATTTTGTATTCAAGAACACTAAAAATTGGTTATATAATCAGTTTGATGTCAGAGAAAATAATTTTTCAAATCAACCTTAGAATATAATCTTTTGACTATATATTTTCAGTATGATATGCCACACTAAAGACCTGCGAATCAATTTTATTTTACTTTACTTGTTTATTTATTTTTATTTTTTAGTTTTTTTGAGTTGGAGTCTCACTCTGTCCCCCAGGCTGGAAGTGCAGTGAGTGGCATGCTTGGGGCCACCACAGCCTCTACTTCCTGGGCTCAGGTAATCCTTCCACCTCAGCCTTCCAAGTAGCTGGAACTACAGGCACGTGCTACCATACCCGGCTAATTTTTAGATTTATTGTAGAAACAAGGTCTCACCAAGTTGCCTAGGCTGGTCTCAAACCCTTGAGCTTAGGCAATTCTCTCACCTCGGCCTTCCAAAGTGCTTGGATTACGGACTTGAGCCACCACACCTGGCCTTGCAAATCTACTTTAAACTTTACTTGATAGTGTCCTAGTTTCAGTGCTAGTAATAAATAATACTGATATTGTTATCTGAATTTGTTATATATTTAGTTTAGGATAAAACAAATACTTAGATTAATGCTAGGAATCAAGCTTTTCAGCATAAGAGAAAAAAGATAAAAACATAATCAAAAACATTTATACAATTAAATAAAAACTATGTAAAACTCTTAAATGAATTGAAGACACAGGGATAACATGGTGTTTTTAGAGAGCTGTATCTTTTTAGAGAGCTGTATCTTCTAGCTTTGTCCATTGAAAGACCTTGAGCTCTAACAACCCAGTAGCAAGAAATGTGCCTTGCTTCTAGGCTATGTTCCTCCCTGACTAAAGAAAGACAGGCCTTCTTAGAGAAATGGTTCATTCCAAATCTGGGACTGTTATGCCGGAAAGCTACCAAAGTCTACTGAGTTTCTGTTTAAAGGACAGAGGAGGTTTTATTTAGGGGTGGAGCTCTTGTTTCTTGTAGATATGTGCTGAAATGTTTTCAGATGAAGTGACCTGCTACTTGAGATTTGTTTCAGAATAGCCTCGTGGCAGAAAGAGGAGGTGATGAAATGGGAATGGCCATGACTTGAGAATTCTTGAGGCTTAGTGACTTGTAATACTATTTTCTGTATTTTTATTCATGTTTGAAAGCTTCCAAATAAAAAGAGGAAGACATAGGGCAGGTAAAGAGGACATCTCACAAGGTCAAAGATGGGACAATTTGAGAATCAAAAATTCATTTGGTTAAAATTCACCAATGATTTTTTAAAATTATTTTTATGTTGTCTAAGCAGGCCTCAAACTCCTGGGCTCAAGCAATTCTCCCAACCCTACCTCTTTTCCCAAAGTACTGGGATTATAGGCATGAGTTGCCACGTCCAGCCTTGGTAAAATAGAAGATCAAGTTGATGGACAGTTTTACAATGGAGGGATCAGGCTGTCACCATCTGAACTTGCTGGTTAATTAGTATCACTAGGAGTGAGACAATCAGAGATGAGCCCCCTAAAGTGATATAATATAAAGAAAACAGAAAACCCACCCACCCATATCTCAAGCTCTGTGACTAATTTCTGGTCTAAAGAAAATATAGCAAATAGAAGATCAAGTTAATACTAGTATAAAGAAGCAGTATTCTTGTCTACAGACCAGCTGACCTGATTTCCCTAAGTCACAGTCATGGGGGCTGGGTGCAGTGGCTCATTCCTGTAATCCTAGCACTTTGAGAGGCAGAGGAGGGAGGATCTCTTGAAGCCAGGAATGCGAGACTAGCCTGGGCAACATAGTGAGACCCCATTGCTGCAAAAAATTAAAAAAAAAATATTAGCTAGTGAACTTGCGCAAACTTGGGAGGCTGAGTTGGGAGGATTGCTGGAGCCCAGGAGTTTGAGGTTGCAGTGAGCCAGGATCGAACCACTGCACTCTAGCCTGGGCAACAGAGCAAAACTTGGTCTCAAAAAAAAACCCCCAAAAACAAAAGTCATGGAAAAAATAAAGTAGGAGATCTGATAAAAGATTTAAAGAGATTTAGAAGATGCCAGGCTCAGTGGCTCAGCCTGTAATTCCGCGCCTTGGGAGGCTGAGGTGAGTGGATTACCTGAGCCCGCAGGTTCGAGACCCGGTTAGGCAACTTGGTGAAACCTCATCTCTACAATAAATCAAAAAATTAGCCGGGTGTGGTAGTGCGCGCCTGTAGTTCCATCTACTTGGAAGGCTGAGGTGGAAGGATTGCCGGAGCCCAGCAGGTCGAGGCTGCGGTGGCCGGGAGCAGCCACTGCACTCCAGTCTAGGCGATGGAGTGAGACTCCAACTCAAAAAACAAAAAACAAACAAACAAAAAAAGAGATTTAGAAGAGACTTAAGAGAATGATAACCAAATATAGCGAGTAGACCTTGTTTTGACCCTGTTTTGGACAAAACTTTAATAAGACATTTTGAGACAATGGGTGAAATTTGCCTATTAGTTGATAACAAGGAATTCTTGCTAATTTTCTTAGTTTTGGTAATAGTGTTGTGTCCACTTAAGAAAAGTCTCTTTTTGAGGAGTATGCTGAGTATTTGAGTGTGAAATCACAGGGTGTCTGGGATTTGCTTTATTTATTTATTTATTTATTCATTCATTCATTCATTCATAGTCTTACTCTGTTGCCCAGACTGGAGTGCAGTGACATGCTCATGGCCATCACAGCCTTGACCTGCTGGGCTCAGGTGATCCTTCTGCTTCAGCCTTCTAAGTAGCTGGGACTATAGGTGTGTGCCATAACACCCAGCTAATTTTTTAAAAAATTTATTGTAGAGATGAGGTATCATCATGTTGCTCAGGCTGGTCTTGAACCTGTGGGCTCAGGCAATCCTCTTGTCTCTGACTCCCAAGTGCTGGGATTACAGGCATGAATCACCATACTCAGCTGGGATTTGCTTTAGAATACTCTGGGAAGGAGGGCTGGGGAGATGGGTGAAACATCTATGGCAAAATGCCAGTGGTGGGTGGAGCTTGGAGACGGGTTTGTGGAGGCTCATTGTACTCTCTGGTTTTATATAAGTTTGGCATTTTTTAAAGATAAGAAGGTGCTTATAGCCAGAATCTGAGGCTTCCCGCATGCCCACTGATTGTACCTTGGTTCAAGCCTCTGCCGTCTCTCACCCAGATTACTGCTGTGGCCTCTTCATTTATTTCCCTCTGCCCTGTTCCCTTCTGGCTACTTCCCGCAGCAGCTGGAGTGAGCCTATAAAATGACAAATGGATCTTGACACTCCTCCACTTAGAAGCCTCCAGTGGCTTCCCTTGCTGCTTAGGAAGAGTTGAGTCCCCCGAGGTCTCCACGGGAGCCACTCCTGGTGCCTACCTTGCTCACACTGCTGCAGCCTCTAGGGCCTCCCGCTAGACCTGGAACCTGCCTTTCCTCACACCTGCTGTTTCCTCTGCTTGCCCAGCTCTGCTACTTGGTGTTGCCTTCTCAGAGCTCCTCCCTGGCTGTTCTCCCGTGAGTCTCCCCCCTAACTCTTCCCATCCCTTCCTGCTTTCTGTGTCTCCTTACACCTTGTCACCATCCAACTTACCATGCCCATTACTTAGTCCTCTTATTGATGATCTCTTTTCCCCAAAGAAGACAAACCCAGGATGGAAGGGTTTTTCCCCCTACTCTACTTGCTGCACCTAAAACATTTTCTTTCTTTTTTTGAGTTGAAGTCTCACTCTGTTGCCCAGGCTGGAGTGCAGTGGCCTGCTCACGGCCACCACAGCCTCAACCTGCTGGGCTCTGGTGATCCTTCTGCCTCAGCCTTCCAAGTAGCTGGAACTACAGGCACGGGCCACCATGCTCAGCTAATTTTTTGATTTATTGTGGAGATGAGGTTTCGCCAAGTTGCCTAGGCTGGTCTTGAACCTTTGGACTCAGGCAGTCCTCTCACCTTGGCCTCCCAGAGTGCTGGGAATATAGGCTTGAGCCACCACATCCAGTCCCTAAAACATTTTCTAGCACAGAGTAGGCACTTAGTAAATATTTCTTGAATGAAAGAATGAGGGGAAGTGGACAGTGAGAGTAGACACCTTTTTCAAGGACTTTAGTAATACAAGATGGTAAGAAGGGGTGGTAGCAGGAGGGGAATGTGGGGTCACAGGCATTGTGTGTATTAAGATAGCAAATTTGTGTGCTCATCCAGGGAAGAAATTGATGACTACGAGAGAGGAGATGATTTAGCACCAGAGGCCTCGAGCAGGTGTGAGGGAGGATGTCAGTAAGGTCTTCCTGTAGAGGGATGGTGCCAACGCAGGGTACAGGAGCGTATGGGAGGTCCCCTTTGCTTCTCTTTTCTTCATGAAATAAGAATCAGGATTCTCAACTGAGTAGAGAGAGGGTGTGGGCAGTGCTTCTGTGGGAATTTGGGGTACAGATGATGAAGAACAGGTAATGGGAAGGCCATAAAGTCCTCGACACAAGGAAGCAATTGCAGTGATGGAGTCTCATCTGAGCTGGGTTTGCAGGAGATTGGGAAACAGTGGGGTTTGAAGGGTCGCAGAACAATACAGTGGGGTTTGAAGGGTTGCAGAGCGGAGATGGAGAACCAGAAGTGGTGGTGCGAAGAATGGGAGAGGGTCAGAGAGTGTGCCACTTGATGCTGCCCTGGGGAGTGGGCGCAGTCACTAGGATTGACATTGCCTGTGGGGTACACTGGGAGCAGGGAGCAGAGGCCATGGGCAGGTCGCTGGTGGTCCCTGCTGCTTTTGTATGTGTCTAGGGCTTGCTCTCATCATCCATGTATTTTTACAGTTGTGTCCCTGTTGGCACATGCACCTCTAGGCAGTTATTTTGGCTGTTGTATAATATTCCTTTGTATGAATCTACTACAGTGTATTTACCTGCTAACAGACATCCGATGCTTAGGTTGAAGATACAAAATTGCTGGCATCGGACCATTTTTTATATGTAAAAACATCAATTTCACATGGCTCCAACTATTGTTTTCCCAGTTTTTACTACCTCAGAGCTTCAGTGATCTGGCTTTGCACGTGTCCATGAGCGTGTGTGTGAGGGTGCCTCCAGAGCCTATACAATCTAGGTATGGGGCCTCAGGCCCACACAGCTGGACCAGGAGGGTGACTGACTTGCACTCCCACCAGCAGCACAAGGGTTCTTCTGTCATTAGTGCTTGGTGTTGACCAACTGTTAGATTGCTGCCAATTGGATGGGCATGAAATTATTTGGCTCCTAGGGGATAGAAATAACCTCCTACCGTCTGGCACAAAGTCAGTGGACTGTAAATGCTGGTGCCATGATTAATAGCAGGCCATAGATCTCTTAAACAATGTGGTTGGTGATGATTGCCTGAAAGGGATATATCGCTAAGTGAAATGATTACAAAGCAGAATGATCTCATGATCTTTATAGAAGGTGTGCAGTGTTCATGTTTTGGTGGTAGGATTATGGGTGATACTTCTATTTTGCTTATCTGTATTTTAAAAATATTTCTACAATAAACATTCAATATTTTTGAAATTTAAAAATCCTAATAAGTTATTTTCATGATTTAAAATGAGCTGTAAAAGGGTCCCTTAGGGGCACAAGGCAATTTTAGCTTAATGTACCAAGCCTCCTGTCAAATCTATAATTGATCAAGAAAATTAAAAAAAAAACAAATTAAACTATTAATGGGCAGGGGGAAGAAAGTCAAAATTGGGGTATGCCTTCAGATTTTAGAAATTCCTGATAACTGTAACAGCATCTGCTAATGGAGCACCCTCACGGATTCACTGATTGAAATTCCACGGATGAAATGATATTGGCAGGGGTTTTTTTTTTTTTGGTATTTGTGTGTGTGTGTGTGTGTGTGTGTTGGGGGGAGAGAGGAGAATCCTCCTGTCACCCTCAAGCACATTTCTGGAAAACGAGTGCAGAAGTCTTCTTGGAACCAAGGAACAGTAGTTTTCGACCTTGGTTGTATATTAAAATCATCAGGGGAGCTTTTAAAAAACATTGCTGCAATTCTGATTTTGTTTATCTGAGGTGGAATAGGCATTGTGTTGGTAGTTAAAAGAGGAAAAAAACTTCCCCAGCTGAACCTTGTATGTAGTCAGAATTGAGAACCATTACTGTGGAACATGCGTTGACAAACTTTTTCTATAAAGGGTAGATAGATAATAAATGCTTTATGCTTTGAAGGCCATGGGCCTCTACTGCAAACATTCAGCTCTGCTATTGCAACACAAAGCCAACCACATACAACAAGTCACCGCATAAGTAATTAATGAAACCTTCCAAACAGGTGGTGGACTAGATTTGGTGCAAGGCTGTGGTTTCTGATACCTGCTATAGAAGATACCAAAGTACTACATCGCTTTCTATTTTATTTTAATAATGGTAAAAATCTGGGAATAAAACTATGGTTTTGCATGATATCATGGAAAGGATGTAGGATTGGAAGTTAGGAGCCAGGAGTTCAAATTGTCCTTGTAAATTGGCTGTGTAATATTTGGGAAGAGACTTAACCTCTCTGATTCTTACGTTATGCCCCTGTGCAGTGAAGACAGTAATGCCTTGTACTTCACAGGGTGTTCGTGGAGACCAAATGCAGCAATATGTGTAAAGACACTCCATGAACTGGAGATGCTGAGCACATATTGCTGGCTTGCACAGATTGCTTGTTGCACGCGTCTTGTGGATTCATGTGTAATAAACATTAAATATTTAAAAGGAAAGCAAATTAGAAAATGTGAATTTAAATGTAATATAAACACGAAGACTGAGAAAAAATGAGTTATACATAATGCATTTCTGTTTTTCTAAGCCAACAAAGTGACTTTGGAAGATGGTATAAATACACATTTTTCCAAAATAGTTTTCCCGAGGGGAAATTAGTTTTCATCATGGTGGTGAAACTGCTGGTGGGGAAGCCTAGGAAGGAGGAAGTGGTTGGTAGAGGGTGCAGGTAGGGGTGGAAGAGCTGAGACCTAAGGAGAAGCCATCCTGGCAGACACGGGCACAGTCTGGGGCCTGCAAGAAGGTGTCTCGACTGGCCAGGACAGCCAAACTGCAGGGAGGCAGGAGGTAGTGGACGGGGAGGAAGCGGAGGCACTAGGCAGGACAGCTCTTTGGCTCTTTCTATGAGTTTGGCAGAAGAGAGAAAAAAATAGGGTGTAACTCAAAAGGGCACGGGGTGGCACAGACTTTATCTTACAGCCGGGGAGGGTGGTGCCTGTGTGGAGAGCAGAACGCTGGGAAGGAGTGGGTGGAGTGGGAGTGAGGGAGGCAACTGAGGACAGACAGGAGAGAGGGGTTGAGAAGGGTGTGGGGAATTGTCCAGGGAAGAGGGAAGGGGGCCATGCCCCTCCCTGGGCAGTGGAGGCCAGACAAGGTTGAGAAGCAGTGGGGAGGAGGCACTTGCAGAGCTGTGGCAGTCACTTCCTCCTGGGAGCCCGCCCTGACTACTCCCTTCCCTCCAGATCTGGGTTAAATGCCCATGCCAGGTAACCATCGGTGCTTCCTGTCATGAAGTGGTGTGTTTTCTTGACTGTCTTGTCTGCATCCCCACTCACCTGTTAAGCAGCACTGAAGGCAGGGCTTCTGTCCCTCTTGTTGGCTCTGTATATGCAGCACGTAGCATAGAGCTGCACACACGGCATAATAGCATGTCATCGAGTATGGGGTCAGTGGAGTGCTGATTAGCGAGTTGGGGATCTGAAACCTTGAGAACTGGTTGTAAGTGATGTCTCTGGGTCTCTTTCTCTTTTAAACCGGCCACTGTAGGAGGAAATTCTGAACCTTCTAAAGGACTTCAGCCCTCTCCACGTCCACAGAGTCCAGAGCGGCTGCAAGTGGTAATGACTACTCTTGCTTTGTTTTCTCTGGGAGGCAACTCCTTTCCTCCTTGTCCGTTTTGCTGATGCCCCAGTGTCGCAGATTAGCCCAGCAACTCCTAGTCCACACCCTGTGACTTGGCTGAGAGACGCCTGGGAAACCCCCTTTCTATATTCAACCTCTGACTCGGCAGTGAATACTTACTGTCTTGTCAGTGCAACCCTGGTTTAGAAGTCCAGAGACCTGGGTTTATTTTTGGTCATGTTCTTGCTCTGTCTTCTGATTTGAGGTAAGTTACTGTGCCACCTTCAACCTTAGCTGTCCCTGAAAATTGCACTGTTCATTTTTTCCTTTTCTTTTTTTTTTTTTTTTGAGTTGGAGTCTCACTCTGTCACCCAGACTGGAGTGCAGTGGCCGCTTCTGGCCATTACAGCCTCGACCTGCTGGGCTCTGGCGATCCTTCCGCCTCAGCCTTCCAAGTAGCTGGAACTACAGGTGCATGCTACCACACCCGGCTAATTTTTTTGATTTATTGTAGAGATGAGGTCTCACCAAGTTGACCAGGCGGGGCTTGAACCCACGGGCTCAGACAATCCACTCACCTCAGCCTCCCAAAGCGCGGAATTACAGGCAGAGCCACTGAGCCCGGCTCATATTTTCCTTTTCTTTTGTTTAAGGCAGTAATAGTGTTTTGAACTTTAGGGGTCAATGGTATTAAAGAAACCCAAAGCCACAGGCATGTAGCGTCAACTCATTTCTTCTGGTCCTCAGAGGTTACGATGGTCTCACACAGCCCAGCCCCGGGTCTGGACCTCCTTGGGGCTTGCTTGTGTGTGTGTGGAGTGGCTCTTTCTCTGGCTGCAGAGAGGAGACCAGCCCTGCGCTCAGGCCTGGCACCTTCTTGCAACTCGTGCTTCTCTTGAGATCTGCTCAGAGCTGCCCCCTCTCTCCTTCCTTTCCAGCTTTGCGTTTGTAGATCTGGGCTCCATGCAGAAAGTGGCACTCGCTATCCAAGAGCTGAATGGCAAGTTCTTCCACAAGCGAAAGCTGTTCGTGAACACAAACAGAAGGCCCCCCAAGAGGATCCCTGATGTGCCTATGTGGCCCCAGGAGCTGCCGGTGTGTCTTCTGGCCTCGACCTGCTCTGGGTTGCTTTTTTGTCATTCTTTGGAGCTTGGCCAAATGTGCTTTTGCTCTCTCATGCTCCTTCAGTCCAGTGTCACTGTGGAGAAGTAGGGGTGTGGGTGAAGTTAGGGAGCTTCTAGGGTCTTTCACAGTCGGAAGCAAGAAAACCCGGAATTTGTAAGTAAAGAGGACTGTATTCTTGACAAGAACAAAAAAAAAAAACTGTAAGCAACTCAGCCAGGACTTTTTCTACTTGGAATATCGAAATTCAGGTTTTTATGTGTTTGATATAGCAGACATTAATTGAGTGTTGATTGTTTGTACAGCCTTGTCCTGGCTGCTGGGATGGTGTGCAAGACGAAGGTGATTAAAATCTGGTTCTTGTGGCAGGAGGATAGACATTGCCAAATATGAGGTATGGGGGCAGTTAATGGTGGGGGTAGAGCATGGTGGAGGGGCTGCCTCTGCAGACAGAGAAGGGAAGGCTCATAACTAACCCCCAGGTGCTTCTATAAAAAGAGGGGGGTCTGTTGTCAGTATGTAGAGGTAAACCAGGAACAACAGATCCCATTTCAGAACCTGAAGTGTGAGGAACTGGCTTGGCTGCACATACAAGGAAATCTGAACATTAGCGACTTATACAAGTCACCTGTCTGTTTTTCTTTCCTGTAGAAGAAGTTAGGCAATAGGGAGTCCAAGGTTGGTATGGGGACTCCTTGATGCCATCAGGGTTCCAGACAAGAAGAAGCGGGGGAAGCCAAGGGCAAAAGGGTCTGTGCCCTCTTAAGAGGTGCAGTTCCAGAAACATGGATCACAGTTCTACTTATATTTCATTGGATGACACTGCACTCAGCCTGATGTGCAAAGAGGCTGGGAGACATAGTTTGTTTTGGGTTTTTTTTGAGTTGGAGTCTCCTTGTCACCCAGGCTGGAGGTCAGTGGCATGCTCCCGAACACCTCAGCCTCAACCTGCTGGGCTCAGGCGATCCTTCCGCCTCAGCCTTCCAAGTAGATGGAACTACGGGCACGTGCCACCGTGCCTGGCTAATTTTTTGATTTATTGTAGAGATGAGGTCTCACCAAGTTGTCCAGGCTGGTCTCAAACCTGTGGGCTCAGGCAATCCTCTCACCTCGGCCTCCCAAAGTGCTGGGATTATAGGCGTGAGCCACTGTGCCTGGCTGAGGTGTAGTTTTTAAAGATAGGCTTGTGTTGCTAAACTTGGGGTTCATCAGCCAGGAAGAAGGAGAGGGTCACTTCAGCTGGCATTCAACAAGGGTGGTCACAAAGCTGCAGAAGCAGAGGTGGAAGCTGAGTGATGGGCTGGACTGACCACAGTAAGATATGGTGACTCCTCTTGCTGGTTCTGAGCTGTTTCTCTTCCTTTCTCCCTAAACCCTCACTCTTTGGAAGTGCAAGCTGTCAGAGTACACTACTCACTGAGCTCCCTGGCTGCAATCTTTGCTGTTCTCTGTCATGTCCTTCACTGAAAACCCTGGCTCCTGGCTCATTATCTTTCTCTCTTATCATAATGTAAACTTAGTGTCTATGTGGATGATCTGTCTAAGAGTCTAGCCATGGGACCATGGTATCTTTAATGATCTTTTCTTCCACTTGTTCACAGCTTCTCAGTCCCTAGCTGTATTTCAGACCTTGTCATTGCCAGTAATCAGTCTCGAAAATATCCATTTCAACATCCCACTCTGCAACCCCATCTTTGCAGCTGTCTTACTCTACATTAGTGGTTCTCAAACTGTGTCTATCTAAAGCCCCTGTCCAACAGTTGGTACATTGGTACACACTGGTACCCCAAATCCACTGACCCCACTGTGTCTTCAAGACTCAGTACTCTTTTCTTTGTTCTCTGACTTCTTTCCTGAGTTTAGATTCCATAGTCTATCATTACCCTCATTCATGTATTCTTAACTCCTTTGACCTTTTCTCTCTGGGTCATATCTTACAAAGACCTAATTCTAGTTGGACCCTGCCCCCTGCCTATTCTGAACCTGCCCTCTGAGCTACTGAAGATATTCACACGAGCTTGCTGACTGGTCTCAGGATTTGTGTATGGTCACAGACCTCCCCATTCTTTCAAATTTATCTATCTTGGAATTCTCTAATCTTTTCTGTTCCTGTGTCTGATCTGCTTTTAAGTCAATCTAATGAGCTTTTCATTTTCTATAGTGTATTTTTCAACTTGCATTTGGTTCTTTTTTCTCATTTCTCTGCTGAACTCTTATCTTTTCACACATTTTCTCTTTTCTTTGTGATTATTTAACATACTTATGAATTATCATAAAATCATTTTCGGCTAATTCCAACATCTGGGTCATTTGTGGATCTACTTTTATTAACATTTACCCCCTTGACTATGGGTAAAACTTTCAAGCTCCTTTACAGGTATAGTAATTTTCTATTGTATGTTGGACATTGTGGATGTTATGTTGTAGAGACTTTATATTACGTTACTGTCTTCTAAATAGTGTTGAATCTTTTTCTAGCAAAAATTAAATTACTAGCATGTCTTTTCAACTTATTAAGAGTTTTTGTTGTTGTTAGGATTGAACTGTTTCAGTGTGAGCCTTGTTCTTGGGCAAAATCATTTTTCTTAAGGCTTGACTTTTGTTGGGTCTCAGGTGAGTGATCAGGTTGCTTACTCAGATCTCTCCTCCCTGGTTGGGTTGAAACTCTCCAGCACTGTGGGACCTCCAATGTTTGTAGTTCTCCCTCAGATCCCTCTCCCTCACCCTAACAGTAGCTGTTCTCTTCAAGGCCTCCCAGCACTTGCCCTGCACATGGACAGTATGGGATTCAGCCAAGGACCTGAGGCGAATCCCTAGAGTTCTGGAACTTCTCTGTGGCTGTTTCCTCCCTGGTACTCTGTCCCACAAATTCCTGTCACCGAAACACTTACCACTTACATGTTTTTTGCTCCTCAGTGAAACTGTCACTTTCTGTTTGGGTTCTGTTTCCCTTTGCTGTGGTTTGGAAAAATGCCAGAGTGAATGTGAAGCGCACCTGCTTTCCTTTTCTCAGGCATACAACCCTCTGCCTGTGCTGGAATCAGTTAGTTTGTATATTTTGTCCAGTTTTAGAGTTGTTTGGGATGAGAGAGTTGTGTTGTTCCCAAACCTGAAACTGGGCGAGTGTCACATGATTCTTGCTTCCTCTTGGCTTGAATACAGCTTCCTAGCAGCACTCCCACTGCCTTCAGATTAGAGGTAAGTAACCAAAAGAGGACTAAAAATCTCCATATATTTGGAAATTTGAGAACATTCCTATGTGAATGACACATGGATCAAAAAAGAAATTATAACAGAATTTTTAAAACACTTAGAACTGAGCTGTGAGGAAGATACTAACCACAAGAAGTTTTGGGATACAGTGGAAGCAATATTTAGAGGGACATGTCCAATCTTAAGTGAGCAAGAAGAAAAGTTGAAAATTAGTGAGATAAGAGTTGATTGAAGAAGTAGATGAAAACATTAAAAAACCCAAATAGAAAGTAGGCATTATTGAAATTTTAAAAAGCTATAAGAGATTAATAAAGTCATAATTTTATTATTTAAAGAGTTCAGGCTAGGTGTGGTGGTTCATGCCTGTAATCCCAGCACTTTGGGAGGCTGAGGTGGGAGGATTACTTGAAGCTAGGGTTTCAAGACCAACCTGGGCAACATAGCAAGACCTCTAACTCTACAAAGAAAAAAAAATAGCCGGGCTTGGTGGCTCAGCCTGTAATCCTGCACATTTGGGAGGCCGAAGTGAGTGGATTGCCTGAGCCCTCGGGTTCGAGACCCACCTGGGCAACTTGGCGAGACCTCATCTCTACAATAAATCAAAAATTAGCCAGATGTGGTAGTGCACACCTGTAGTTCCAGCTACTTGGAAGGCTGAGGCAGAAGGATCGCTGGACCCCAGCAGGTGAGGCTGCGGTGGCCGGGAGCGGCCACTGCACTCCAGTATGGGTGACAGAGTGAGACTCCCACTCAAAAAAAAAAAAAAAAAGAAAAGAAAAAAAAATTACCAGGCGTGGAGGCACATGCCTATAATCCTAGATACTAGGGAGGCTGAGGCAGGAGGATTGCTTGAGCCCATTAGTTCAAGGCTACAGTGAGCTATAATAATGCCACTGAACCCTAGCCTGGGTGACAAGAGCAAGACCCTGTCTCAAAAACAAACAGAAAAACCCCAAAACTGGCCGGGCACAATGACTCATGTCTGTAATCCCAGCACTTTGGGAGGCCAAGGCGAGAGAATTGGCTGAACCCAGGAATTCGAAACCAGTCTGGGCAACATGGCGAGCGAGACCTCATCTCTACAATAAATAAAAAAAATTATCCAGGCGTGGTGACATGTGCCTATAATCCCAGTTTCTTGGAGATCTGAGGTGGAAGGATCACCTGAACCCAGCGGGTTGAGGCTGTGGTAGTCATGATTGCGGCACTGCCCTCCAGCCTGGGTGACAGAGTAAGTCTCTGACTCAAAAAAACAACCAAACAAAAAATGAGAACAAAATTAAGAGAACAGAAAACTCTCTGTTGCAATAAATCAAAAAAGTACCTCAATCAATATTATCAATGAAAGATCATAACTATAGGTCATAACTATAGATATAGCAGAGATTTTAAAATAAGATATGGCAATAAATTTGAAAACTTAAACAGACACATTTCTTAAGGTATCTTTTCTTGGCATTTGTAAATCTTTAGGTTTCTGTAAGTAAATCATTTTTTAAGCTGATATAGGAAGCCTGGATAGTCCTATATCATTTGAAGTAGTTAAATCATAGTTTATAATCGCCTCACAAAACACCAGGCCCATATTGTTTTATATGAAAATTTTACCCAATTGCAAGGGACAGAAAATTCTAATCTTATATAAATTTTCCCAAAGAATAGGAGACTACTTCTTAGGTCATTCTATGAGGCAAGTATAACTGTGATACCAAACCAGAGAAGAACTGCATAAGAAAGAAAAATTGTAGGCTAGCTTTGCTTT